AACTTGCATTTTTTCTCTGTTTTCTTACACTTTTTCCTTGTTGTTTTCCAAGTAAACACACACACTCTTCATTCAGCCACTCCCATGAACAACTTCTCTATATGTTCACTCGTTTCTGCGCCTTCCGTTGTTACTGAACACCGCCTGCGCAAATATGGTATGTTCCTTCCTTTTTAATATATCATTTTTACATAAACCATTGATTTTCGATGGGTTAGTTAATGAAATTCATTTTGTTTCATGGTATCAAAGCATATTAAGAATGGAGAGTCAAAATCTCTACCCGACCACTACAAACCAAACCCAAACTTTAAGGATTTGGCCATAACAAAACTGAACCCCTCAAATGTAACAACCCGTATTATCTTGATAAGTCACTGAATTCTACGGCGGTCCTTGTTCCGAAACTGCTTAATGACAACAACTATTACACATGGGCAAGTTTCATATAATGGACATTGAGTATACAAAACAAAATAAGATTTATAGATGGAATCCTAACACAACCTACAGATCTAACGGATCCATTGAGAACACACTAGAAAGTGTGCAATGATATGATGATTATTTGGATACAGAATACACTTTTACCTGATATTAAGACTAACACATTTTATGCTCAAATAACACATCAACTATGGCATGAATTAGAACAAAGACATGCTAAACAAAATGCAACTAGGGTGTATCAAGTTAAGTAGCCGGTATTTGCACTCACATAAAACTACGAGTCAATACGAGCTTACTTTTCAAAGCTCAAATTTCTTATTGATGAGCTTGTAAATTATGAAACCATTCCTATCTACACATACGGGGGGACTTAAACTGATTATTGGGTACTAGGAGAGGGATCACACAATGAGATTTTTAATGGGACTTAATGAGTCATATAACAATTTAACGTCTCAAATCTTGGCAATTAAGCCTTTTCCTAGTTTGAACAAGGCAATTAAGCCTCTTATCCAACAAGAGATTTTCAATGGCTTTCAGTATAAAAAAGGCCAATAAACTACAGAGAATTGTTAGTCTGAATAAAGAGAAATATTATTGTACCTATTGCAAGAAGACTAGACATTCTTTGGAAAGATGTTTTAAGACCAATCCAAATAGACTTGTATGCACCAATTGCAATCTATCAGGACATACAACTGAGGTATGCAATAAAGATAATAACCAAGTAAAGGGACAAAGGACCCAAAACAAGATTAGACAACCCACCATCAATCAAAGTATCCTCTATTGATGCACAAACTGAACTCAATGGATAATAACACAATTTATTAACAAATGATCAACTCTACCAACTTATGACTTTCATTCAACGAAGTCAAGCTATTGTCAATGTGGTACAAGCAACTTCAGAGTAAACTTAGGATTAAAACTCACTGAATTCTCTAGTATGTTTTCTTGTTTAAATGTATGCATAATAAATAGAAATATTAACACACATAAAACTTAGATAATTGATA